AAGAACTATGCAGCATGTTCCTAACCATTTGTGAAGCTTAGCAACCTCAGAAGTATGTTTTGTGTTCCCTTGTAGGTTATTCTAAAAGCTGGGAAGTGTGCAGTCAGCTTGGGCAATCAGAAGGCTACCATGATTTGGCTATGCGTCAGGAACTCATGGCTTTTGCTCTGACACACTGTCCCCCAAGTGCCATAGAGGCATTGCTGGCGGTGAGCAGTTCGTTGCAAACCCAGGTAGGTGTTTCTGAAACTTCTTTCATGCAAGTTCAGTGCTTACCAAAGTAAAGGAGACTTGTGCTCATTTTTAAGTTTGTTCCTTTAAGTTTCACCCCACAAAAAGTTTTTATTTTTTCTACTGTATTTTTCTACTTTCACTGTTGTATTTCAATAAATGAGGTCTCTTTATAAGCATTTTTATATGATGAGTTGGCTTCTCAAGTAGGAGTGCAATTGTATTCTCGATCTTCAGTACTTTTAATTTCTTTATTTATTGCCCAATTTAAACATTTTATTTGCAAATGCAGTTAAACAACTTTTTTCGATGTTTTCCAGGTTCTGTCACCTGTTTACACATTGTAATGCAACTTCATTAGATGCCTGCCTAAATATCTATTAAGTGTTTATTTTTAACATTTTTATGCTTTCATACAACGACGTTATTTTCTCACTGATTTCTACCATGTAATGGTTTTAACAACTACAACAGGCTTTATGTCTGAGCCATTTTTATTGACTCTGCAGTGACTGACTTCTTAATAGAATCAGTTCTTAGGTGTTCAGCTGATCATATTATATATGTGAGAACACGTAATTGTGGCATTTAAATACAAGTTATGGCAAGATGACATAGCAAACCTTTTGAAAAAATTTTATTTGAAACTGTAGTGCAGCAATTTAGGTTGTCAAAACGTTAATTTCTGTTCAGTGTAATTGTGGCTTGGCGTACCATACCATTACTTGTTTAAGAGTTCATATTTATCTTAGTTGTCTAAGAGTTCACAATGTTCATAGATTTATCTTTGTGTAATAAAAATATCTTAGAAGGCTTGCATTCTGTGTCTGAAGAATGGGGGAGAAGGGAGCAATAGCTACAGCACATATGCAGTCTAATTAAGGCAGCTGCAAGTGCGTAGCCTTTTTCCTTATAAAATGCTTGTATAGCTGTGTGTATGAGAAATACAGGCAACATATGAAGGCAGTCTGTGCTGCTTCAGTAGCAGGATAACATCACAATAAAATGCTACAAAGATTTTGAAATACAGTCTATCTTCTGCAAGCTATTTACTATTTTTTTCATCAGGAGAGCACTCAAATTTGAGAGGTATGTACAATTATGAGTTTAAGTGCAAGTGGAACCTTTGCTGAATCGATACCTGTACAGTATAGGACTAAAAACTTGTTTTCCTGCTTATGTGCTTATACCTGGAGTTAGAAACTGAAGTCAAACAAAGTTTTGGGACTGTATAAGCTGGAGTTTGTTAGCCTTTCTGTCAATTCGCTGCCTCTATACCACTGTCTTGTTCCTTCTAAAGGCTTCATGTCCTGTTAGTTGTAGTGCAGTGCAGCCGCTCAGCCACTGTTTTATTATCCTCTTGCATCCCACTTCTCCAAGGAAAACAATTCTCTGTCTTCTCCGTTCACAAAACTTGAGACTGAATTTGTTGCTAAGGTTTCTTTGTTAGTGCAATATCATTTGTAGCAAAAGAGCAGTGATGACTAATTTGGTATTTGCCCCAGGAACCCAAATGCGAGTCATGAGTTCTGTCAAATCATGTTTAATCAGTTTCTTCTGCAATGACATTCTCCATAAACTAAACATAAGCTTTTCAGTTCTGTTCATTAATGGTCCTACATGTTTCATCTAAGCACTCAGTCTCTGTGTGTAGGTAGATAAATATATGCAAAAATCTTTATTAGAAGGTCATGCTGACCACTTGATATATGTGTCTTTTGTGGACCTCTGTCAGTTCTGCGGTCTGTGGAAATTTTGCTCACAAAATTATTATCTTGTGTAACACTTGCCTCTGTGGCGTTGGGCAACGCCACAGAGGCACGGTCCAGATAATGGATGGTTTTCATGGCAGTTCTTTAGCCTATGTAGTACAGCAGGGTGCATATAATAAAAAACCCCAAACAAAAAACATTATTACATTGCATGCAAAATATTGCACAGGTTTTTTTTTTTTGTGCAGGGGAAGGTCATTTTGTCTAGGGACTATGAGAGGATGCCAAAGATACCTATATGTGTTCTTCTCCCTGTTTTCCCCTGCACCCTTGTTTTTCTATCATGGAAACTTTTACATCAGAATTTCTTGGGTTCCATCAAAATTTCATCAGTCATAATTCTTAAATTTGATTATTTGATTAGTAAGAGATTATATTTATTTTGTGTTTATAGATTCTTTATCAGGCTGTGAATTACCAGTTCCTTCCTTCAGAAGGAGGTGGTGAGAATATAAATATCTCAGGACCTTCTTCATTGATCAGTAAGGATACAGAGGTAAGCTTTAAAGAGTTTTTAAATACTATTGATTTTCTTCTGAATTTGAGTTGAATTTGAGTTTTAACATCTACCTGTTTACTATATAAATGCACAATGTTAAATACACTTATCATTTCTGTTCTTAAGTTGTTTTAAGTTCAAGGTTTTGCTTATGTATTTATACTTAGTCTGTTATTGTAGCCTTTCAGAACTTAAAGGGGACTTATAAGGTCCCTTATATAGAAAGACGGGGACAGAGATTTTAGCAGCGCCTGTTGCGATAGGACACAGGGTAATGGTTTTAAACTAAAAGAGGGTAGATTTAGACTAGATAAAAGGAAGAAGTTTTTAATAATGAGGATGGTGAAACAGTGGCACAGGTTGCCCAGAGAGGCGGTAGATGCCCCATCCCTGGAAACATTCCAGGCCAGGTTGGATGGGGCTCTGAGCCAGTTGAAGATGTACCTGCTCATTGCAGGGGGGTTGGTCCTGCAATGATGGTCCCTTCCAATTCAAAGATTCTATGATTCTGTGAACACGCTAGTATTTGCCTTTGGTATATTTTATACCATGTAGCTTAAGAAACCACACCTCTCCTTCACGTTATCGGAACAGGCAACTTCTATGTATATGTCTATATTTTGTGTATGTTTTTAATATATGTATAGGCACACATGTATGTTTTGTATACATACAAGCATATGTAAACATATGTCTGATTCTATGATCTACGTATTTGCATATATAGAAAATAAATGAGCAGGAAAGTAAAATAGCACTGAAAACAGTATTCAGAGAAGGAAAGCTAAGCAGTTTATCTGCTAGTCATTGATATGAAGAACAGGTCTGTGCACTGGCATGTCTCTGAGAGGAAGATTATTTAAGGAGATGTTAAAATTTTGGAACCTTCTGATGTGGGTGTGGATACATTGTGTTTACAATATTTTAATGTATGTAAGAAATTTGTCATGTGTCACCTTTCATATGCTGTAGTACTATTGACTGTATGTTGTGACAGAAAAATTACACATGCATAGAAATGATTCAGAAACTTATTCAAGGGTTTATCAGAGTTGAGTAAACTCACTAAGTAACTTCATTATCAATTCAGTTTTGATATCTCAAGCAATTTTCATTATGCTGGGGAATTTACATTCAGAAAATTATCCACTCTTATTTTCTCCCGATATATCTTTCATTTTTTTGCCCCCTTAGTTGTGGTTGGTTGTCCGTTTAAAATTGGAAGTAGGGAGACAGTTGACTGGACAAGTTTGTATGTTGCTGCATTGAGGTTTTTTCTGTTTTAATACAGCTTCTTGGCATGTCATATTTCAGATTGTTACACTTTGAAATGAGTTCTGTATATTTGCTAATTCTGACTTTTTGTTCTCTCCCTGTTGACTTAATAGGGATTTATAGCTTCTTTCATTTCTTGCAACGACACAGGAGGAAACATAGCCAAGAATTTAGTCACTGTATAACCCTTCCTTTGTTACAGACATTTGAAATCTTAGGAAAGCAATATATTCAATAATTCAGTTTCTCTGACTTAACTGAATCCCATAAGTGCAGTTCCCATAGTTCTACTTCAGCTAATTCCTCATGCTTCACCTTCATTGTCTTGAACAAAATTTCATTTTCTTCAAAGAAAAAACAAGCAATAAGATTTTTTTTTCCCCTTTCTTTTTCACTTTTGTCCAGATTAACTTATATAGCATCCTTTTCTCAAGAAATTGACAAACGTTATTCTTTTCTCACTTATTGATACCTTTTAAAATTGGTGCTTTGAATGTAATTTTCCTTGTCTTGCCTTGAGTACGCTTCTTCTAGCATACGTATGTTTGGTCATCACTTTCTCTGTTGCATTAAAAATACATATCTATAAGTATATCATTTTTACCTTTCAAAGCTTTAGTGACCTTTTTCTACCTCTTCTTACCTTTACCTAGTACTGAATCATTAGTTGCCACTACCCTTTTATTCCATTGTACAAACCTACATCACCAGCTGGTCATACTTTCTCTTGTTGAACTTCTCCCTAGAAATGTCTAAAGGAATTTAATTTTTGTTGTTGTAGTTTTTCCTCTGAAACTTTTTTCCCCATGAAACTTGTAGAATTCTTGATATCAGCTGGCTACTTATCTTCACAGATTGCACAGAAACGTATTATTTAACATTGCTGTCATACTGAATTCAGTATAACTTTTCTCCAAGTTTTTGGTGGTTCTTGCTCTGAAGGAAATTCCTGATTGCTATGATAAAGATGCATGTAATTAATCTGTAGGAGCTAACTGCATTTGCACACGAATGTACTTCATTACCTTAGTGCCAGCTTGTCACTGTTGATTGAACTCATGGGATCCATTGGAGAAATTATCCTCTGTAAGCTACAATGATTCCAACATAGATTATTTTTAAGCAAAACGTTATGTTTCCCCAGTCCCCACCCTTTTTTCTCATTGTCATATGAGAAAATTAAGGTCTTGATTCATGAAAAGCATTTCAGAGTATTATTTCTAACTTTATTAGATTAAAATATAATGCTTAGTCACAAGATGCAGTGTTGTGTATAAATGTTAGAAACAATAACCATCAACTGCCTTGTAAATGAGCTCTGACTTTATGTTAAATCTGTGTAATATTTAAAACATGCATTATGTCTGTTAAAAATAAAATCATTATCTTTTACATATCTGAATGTGAAAACTTAATTATTGTAAAGTGGCACATCAGCACAAGAGAGTTTGCAGTTTCAAGTTTCCTTGAAAACAAACTCTCTGATAGGAGAGCAGACATAATTTGTAGAGGAGAGTATCTTCAAATTTTAGGAATTATTTTCTTGCATGTTGCTTAACAAAAAGAAAATTTCCAATTAGCAAAGCATTAGCAGCATCTTTGCTTTTGCATTTTTCCCGAGCACTAGATCTGGGAAAAGATGGGATCTTTTAAAACATTTGTGTACATTAAATTGGCATGTCATGCATTTTTATCACTGCTGGTTAGAAATTATTAGGGAATGTTGTATTTATGTAGCATGCACTGGTAACTCTTCCACCTGGAGCCTTTGGGCAAAAATAATGCTCCAACTGCTGTTTCAAACAGTTGTGATTTCTTCTTTTTTTTTTTTAATTTTATTTTTTATTTGTGAATAACTGGAGCTGTGTTTTGTGGTTTCGTAAATGTACTGGTTTTAATTCTGTAGTAATTAAATAAGAAATCTTCTTATAGGAAGAGGCAGCTGTAATTCCTAAAGGAATCATGTTCATGTACAATGTCACTGAACTCTTTTTGCAGAGAGGAGAAAAATCTCAGTGTGGAACTCTATATGTGTACTATTTAAACTCCTGTTGTAGTCAGTGGAGATCTAGTCAATGGTGCATAGAGAATAAGGCAGTTAAGCAGCCATTAGGTGCTTGATTCAGTTACTTCATCATAGATGTCAACAATTTGAGATGCCTTAAGTTATCCTCCTGTCCTTTCGCTACTGACCGCCAAAAGTCTAGGTCCTCTTGTCAGATCTGCAGGTGTTAAGCAGGTATCTTAGTTACTGCTGTGTATCTCAGTCATCAAAGCCTATGCTTAAGCCATAAAATCAAATGCATTGTATATGCTTAGCTAGGTTACTTTTTCAGGTGCAGTGACATTATAGCCCTAATAAGACCTTAGACATCCAGTGACACCTGAATTTTAGTATTGTCCTCTTCAGCTGAATCTTTTCCGTAGTCTGTCGTCTAGGGTCTGGTTTATCTTTGCGGGACTGGAGTATTCAATTAGACTGGTTCATTAGCAGTAACATACAGTACAGAAAGAAAAGAAAACCAAAAACAAACCCAAACAAAACCTTCCAAGGCACAAAACATAAATGTGAACAGTTACGTAAAAGACACAATTTTAAATTCCTGTTTTCTGATGGGAATACCAAAAAGGTGCAAAAGAGAAAGGAAAGCTAATAGTTGATGTTCTGTCTTATGAACAGAATTTGTTTCACCTCACTTTTTCCTTCATCATCTTAATACTTAATGACTCTTAATGCATAAAGTGTATATAGTGTATGGTTTTTGCATGTTTTGATCCTTTTACCTTGACTAATTGTCATTAGAGAGAAAAAAAAAATCCATGTTGGAGGTGTTCTAATTTATTACTGTCTTGTCTGTGGCTTATTTGAAAAATAGTTACCTTTGTTATTTGTCTTTGCATTATATATAAGTGTATGTATAAGTATATGTATGTATATATATAAATATTTTAGCTGTTATTTTAGGGTATCTTGATAATTCAGAATTTGTTGGCTGACTTTTTTACATTGATTTAGAGCCATACAAATTTTTGTTCTTCTAATTTAGGATTAATGAGTTGTTGTTATTATTACTTTGTTTTTACTAAGAAGTGCTTACTTTTATAAAGGATATCAGGAGGAAATAATATAAGAAAGTAATCTCTCCCAAACACCCCTCAAAACCTCCAATGAGACCTCCAACAATCTTTAAGAAATCATTTATTTTATGAGAGATTGATTCAGGATAGCAAAAAATTATAGCCTGAAAGCGTTACTGTTCCACATACACAGAGGAATGGCTTTTCGGAAAACAGACTTTTTATTTGTGCAGAAAAGACTGTAATTACTTGTAAGAGTTGAAATTCTTTTTAGAAAAAATCAATAGAGTTTATCTGATAGCAGTAGAGCTATAGAAGCATACATACCAGCATACAAATTAGCCCATAATTTTTCACACTACTGAAGGAAGTTTATTTTTAAAAATGTGTTTTGCTCAAACGCAGTTGAGAATTTGGGAGAGGGATTTTTTTTTCTGTCTCTGTGTTGTTTTGGTTTTGTTTTATTTATTCCCCATGAAGAATCAGTTAGGTGTCCTGCAGCATCTGCTTGAAAACGGAGGCAGAGAGAGAAATGAGTATTCTGTATGTAACATTTAAATTTAGCTTTTGTACTAAGTGCCAAGAGTGGTTTATTTAAAAAACACATAAACAAGAAATTCTCCCCCACCCCACCAAGCCACCAGACCTAGGATTTTCTGTTGCTTTTTACTTTTCAGAGGAGTAAAAATTCTGACTTGTTGTATTTGTCATGTTCTTTCTTCATTTGATGAAGTAAAAGCTGAAATTTCTAATTTAGCCAGTCAGTTCATTAGTGGTCATCTGTGAAATGCAGAATATAATTTCAGAAAAGTTTGGAAAAAAAATACTGAAGCCTTAATGGAAAGAAGGACTTAAGATAGACCTGCTATTTCAGTGGACAAGTTGAGGCAGTGATTTACTTTATTACAGGAAAAGATACTAAGAAGAAGTTCTGCAGTGAAATTCTGCCTTACTGAAGCTGACATGTTCTGTTACTGAAGTTATCACAGAATCACTAAGGTTGGAAAAGACCTTTAAGATCATCAAGTCCAACCATCAACCCAACACCACTATGCCCCCTAAACCATGCCCTGAAGTGCCATGTCCACACGTTTTTTGAACACTTCCAGTGATGGTAACTCCACCACCTCCCTGGGCAGCCTGTTCCAATGCTTGACCACTCTCTCAGGAAAGAAATTTTTCCCAATACCTAGTCTAAGCCTCCCCTGGTGCAACTTGAGGCCGTTTCCTCTCATCCTGTCGCTGGTTACTTGGGAGAAGAGACGAACACCCACCTCACCACAACTCCCTCTTACGTAGCTGTAGAGAGCAGTGAGGTCTCCCCTCAGCCTCCTCTTCTCCAGACTGAACAACCCCAGTTCCCTCAGCCGCTCCTCATAAGACTTGTGCTCCAGCCCCCTCACCAGCTTTGTTGACCTTCTCAACATAGTTCATAATTCACTTAATTCAAGTATACACATAATTCAAGTGGAACATAATTCACGTGAGCATAACTTGGCATCCTTTCACTCCGATGTCTGAATTTTTGTCACGAGTTAGTAAGTTGCAAACTACGACCTCACTTTCAGTTACACAGGTAGAATTTTTCTATTTCAATACACTGCAGTGTATGGGGAAATTAATAACAGACTTGTTAGGGAGAAACATTGGATTTAAAACTGTTGAAGTTTGCTGTATGGAGGAAAACATATTTTCTGTTGCTGAAGACAGCGTGTTTACATCAGCATGCTAACTACATATCTAAGTCTAATGTGTCAGCTTTGTAAAGCATGCAATTAACACAAACCTTTAAGGACTGGAATAGCACAGATCACAATGTGGAGTTCTGGGTATTATTTAAATGTTTTCATGAGGAAAAGCTGGTGCAGAAACCTCAATTCATGTGACATGTCTTTTGCTTTTAAGAATTGACTTACATGTGAGTTTACTGAGACTGAGTGAAGATGTTTTGCAGGGTAACGTGCAGACGTATACGTGCATGTATTGTGGAAACAGTTTGGGATTGAGATTAGGCTGGGGTCTCGATTCTTTTTTGCAGTCTTTTAAGTTTGCTATATTCAGTACCCTGTAAGTGCCAACTGCAGAATTTCAAATCTCTGTGATACTTTTTTACTTGGTGTGGAGGTGAATGTTTACATGTCTTCACCATTTCCCCTACTGAGAATACAACTTAATTAATGCTAGCTCTGTACAAATACAAGATTGTCTTTGCTATCAGTTTTCTTGAATTATTGAAGATGAATTTTTGAATGATCAATCTCCTTATTTGTAGAGAGATCGTTGTTTTAACAGAAACATTCAACAATTATGTAGAACATTACCATTATAAACTTTGGAATTAAAAACAGCTGGTGTCTGTAGAAAGAAGAGATTGTAGTTGAATAAGGGGCAAAATGTTCTACTGATGACGCTACTCACTTCAGAATGAAACTTCTAAATCGCTTTTCACTTGTCTTTTGTTGTTATTAACAACAGCTGTTGCATAAATTAATGATCATTAAAATATGTTATTAAGATAGTGTGTCTGATGTCTAAATGCATTTGGCTTTAGGTCACTAGCCTGAGCTAGTGAGTCTAACACTTGCCGTTGTGTGTTGGATATGCTCACAGGATGAAACCAACGCCTCCTCTAGCCAGTCTGCTGATTTGTTGTACTGGACGACATCAAAAACCATGAAGGTGTTGTCTAACACAACTATGACTACAAAAGCCATGCTGCATGCTGTCAGTGATGGACAGTGGTGGAAGAGATCATTAACTTATCTTCGACCGTTACATGTAAGGGATTGCTGATGTGTCTGCAGAAGTTTACACATTCACAGATACATTAGTGTAAAAGCTGGGCTCCCTTATAGGTTTCTGTTATTGAAGACCTCAAATTGATAAATGAACTAGAGACATCAAGGGACTGTTTGCAAGCAAATCCCAGTGAGAAGAGGGGTCTAAAGCAGTTTCCTTTTGTTTTCTAATCTGTTTTCTCCTGGTTTTTTAGCACAGCGTGAGAAGGCATAGTTGAAATTTGGGAGAACTTCAGAACTTTGGGGAAGAAAGCGCAGTGAGAGTTCACTCTCTAAATACTGTCAAAGCTGTTCCTTTTCAGTTTTTGTTTTCTACTTTCTCTACTTCCGTGGATTTTCTTTAATGTTTATGATACTAGTTTCTCTGATACTACTTTTAAGCATGATTTTTTTTTTTTAAAGAATACTGGTCCTCATTCAGCATTGGTTTATATAAAATGAATCCTATCTTTCTCCCCACTAAATTCCGTGATATTTTCATTTACAGTTGCTTCCCTTCTGAATAGCAATTACAGACTTTTTAATAATCTTTTTTTATGACTAGCCTCAACTATACTTATTTTTCCCAGGGCCAAGAATTTGGAGATGTATTAAAAAGTGGACCTGGAGAAAATGCCACTGTGGAAAAGCAAGGCTGTCATCCATTCTATGAGTCTCTAATTGCTGATCCATACATTGCAGAAGTAAGTTTCTGTTACAAAATTCAGAAGTCTTATTTTATGGAGATCATATAATTAATTAACAATATAGATTTTGGATTATTTGTGTGACTTGCAAGGATTTGAAATTTTGTGCAATAGTAGGAAAAGTTCCAGCATTAAACAGAAAGGAAAGCAAATGCAGGAACTAAGGTAGATAATTGCATCTGATGCAAGTGAGCTAAATATAACTGCAGGGTATAGCACGCATGTGTAAGTTATCTTATTTTACTTCTAGTCTGAAATCAGCTATGGCACATACCAGAACAATTCTTTGGAAAGCTTTGCAGAAGTGTTACTGAGAACAGAGAAACTCACAGAAACAAAGAGCGAAGGAAAAGACCTACTTCCAACTACAGAAGGTATGTGTATGTGTATATTCACTCATGTATTAAATATAGGAGAGTCAATGGGTGAGGTTAAGTGTGGAGAATTGCACACAATGATCTAAAGTACTGCCTGGGTATTTTATATGAATTGCCATCTGGTTCAGCATCTTATGGTGGTAAGTAGTCTTGATAAAGTACCTGCAGCAATTTCAAGAGAAGTGGTATTTTTAGGAGTCGCTCTGTAAAGACTAGAAATCTGAAGGTTGGCTTCAAACAAGCAGAAACTGATATTTGAGGGCTGACAAACATACAAACGTGAAAGGGGGAAAAATTGTTGAAGAGTTCCTGAATACTACCATGTACAGATATTTAAATGGAAATGTGCAGCCCACTGTTAATGTTGTTTGTATATATGCCCATGTATTCATTTGTTCAGGTTCTGTGCCTTTGTTTATACAACTTTCAGTATTGCAGGGTCATTACAGTATTTTATTTGCTAATTAATGCTCAACTGCAGTTTCTGGAATCATTAGAACTTTCTGTCGTATTCTGGAATTTCTATATTTTATAATTTATACTCAATGTGCTGACTGACACCGTTTCAATTTTTTAAGAAAAACACAAAACCGCCTGTGATTTTTTTGTATTTCCTTTTGTCTTTCTCCTGCTGGTTTAAGAAATGAACTATTTAAATATTTACGTGCCGTTAACTGTCTTTTGAAGGAAGGTATCTGTATTATATTTCACTCTGTGGTAAGTTCTGCCATGAAAAATTAGTATATTAAATCACTTGCAATATGAAAAAAGTTTCACACAAGACTTTCTTCATAGCCACACAATTTTATTTCAACTGTTTAGTGAAAACCAGCATATTTCTCTTAACTGGTATATGATTCAGTAGCTAGTTTGAGATGTGTGATATTTCTGTAGATAACCTGCAGAGTTGTAATATACTAACATTTTGAATTAGAAAAGGTCAGCAACAGCTTGTATAAATGAGGATGTACTCATGTTTTGTTCCTTTCATGCTCTCCTAGTGCAAAAATAGTTTTAAATGTGTGCTTATGATCTCTTTTCTTGCATGCTGAAAGCCTGTAGGCTTCTAGCTCTGATGCCTGTGTCTTAAAGGAGAGGGAGGCAAGGATTAAAAAGTATTCATTGCTTTCTTAAGGCAAATGATGTTAGTTGGCAAATCTTTGGTAATAGTTCCTACTCCAGCTTCAGTAATTGGAACAGGTTGTTTACAATTCAGCAGCTTCCTTTCATATGAAAGTTTCAGTTTGAGGGACTTTTTCTTGAATAAGAGAAGAAATTTGACGTTCCAGATTCAGATATTGAGCTCTACCCTCCTATTCTTAAGTGTGTAGGTTACGGTTTCCACCATTTTAATACTTCTGTTTTCTTCCACCACTCCTGTTCTATAGTCAGTCTGAATTTCACTTATGAGTCCCTCCAGCTGTGCTATGGAACTGAGAGTCCTGTGTTTTCCTCTGGAAAACTGAACTGTATTTATGCTGTACTCAGTGGTCCTATGCTGTCCTGTATGACACCTTTTGGTAGTCAGTAGCGTTCATTTTAAGTATGCACAAGTGTAGCGTAGCTTTCTGTAAATGACCGGATTGGCAATTTGCTTAACTGTAATGCATTTAGCCCTGGATTAACAGTTTTGGATCCCACCTTCTCCCCTTTCTTAACGCTTTCCTTTATCATTTCCTATGAAAGTACTTATGATGACTTAACACTTTCAGGATTGTGGAGTTTGACACTGCACACCACCAAAAAATCACACAGATATAAACCTCATTTATTATTCTGTGGTTTTCCCATATTTTCAGGCTTTCTCTCAGGTTCTGGGGGAATTTTGCCATACGAAACTTGAGTGCTAATAAAAGTTATTAGCTACTATACTAGTAACTAGCAAACATAGCAGACAATTTAATTTTGCTGACAAGTTTGTATCCTATTTGTTTCTTCTAGCTGTCTTCTAGGACAGCTACAGCAGCAGGTTTCAGCTTCTTTAGAAAGATTGACAAACCTAGAAGAAGATGCAGTTGAGCCAAGAAACCTTAGTTGCACTTAACACATCTTAGGAGATGTTGAAGTATGCATCCATCTCTGTTTCTGTTATTATAGTAGTGTCATACTCTGTGTATGAGGGAATGGCTAAACACTTTTCCCAGAGGCAACATGCATAGTAAAACTCAGGATAACATTTCCTGCTTCTTTGGTGGATTAGGTAAGGTCACAAGCCTTGGACTTTGACCTTCCTTCTCCTTTCCCTCTGGGTGTAGGTGGTAGACTGAGCATTTTCAAGTGGAGTGGTAACACCCATCACTTTGGGCCCAGTAAAGCACTCTTTCCTCAGTTGTGCCCTTACAGTGCATCCAGACTTAGTGTGACTAAGGTGGTGGTGTGCATCTCTCTTTAATTGTTGTTGTCTTTCTCCGTGGCCCTTAGGAATTTGATGGGAAGGTGAGATCTGAATGGGAAATTACTACATAGAACTGATGTCTGCATTTCGTTGTAACCAGATTAGGAACTGCACTGGAAGTAAACTCAAGAAAGTCAGTCATACCTATTCATCGTCAGGAGTTTTAGAACAAAGAATAGCTTAATGTTTTCCATGATTTCGTTATTGCTTACAGATACAGCTGTTTAACTACAATATATATTTTTAAGTTTGGTGAGATTTTAACACATGCTTTATGAAGAATTGCAACACTTGAAGAATTTTTTTCAGAGGGAAAAAACATCAAGAAAGAATTGAAACTTCCTAGGTATTGATAAATTCCATTTTTCACAAATAAACCATTTTCTTCCCTTATTTGTCTTTTGAAGAGGCTTGTAGCGTAAAGACAAGACCTGCACAGGAAATAAAAATTATTCATAAAATCAGGTTTTTTTGTGTGTTTTCCTAAGGAAATTCTGCTTGTGGGACAGCAGCATTAGCTCTTTGCTTGTCACTGCCTGTCCTCTCTGGTTTGCCAGCTCTGTAACATTTAATCCCTTTGGCAAGTTTCAAGTTCAGCAGTGGTCTGAAACGATACTAAGTTCCTGTAATTTTGTGAAGGTGTATGAGAGGATGGAATGGCATCTTGCTAATGTCGGTAGCCTGTGATTTGGACTCAGCCCTGTTAGACGTAGAGAATTCCTGTAGAGTTTCATGAGGAGACAGAAAACTCTATGAAATTGGTCTTTGTGTATGTATGTGCCTGTGTATATGTAAAGTAGGCATCTGTATATGGATACATGAACACGTAACTGCACACAAGCACACAGAAAATTTATATTAATTGAATCAGTATGGGGGATTTTTTTTCTCAGAAGAGATGACAATGGAGACAGGTCTTCTTAAATACATTCTGGCAACTGGGATGCCTTTGTGTTGAGCTTCATGCAAGAGTATGAATAAAATCATATTGTTTTCTGACCTTGTATTGGTGCTGTGTTCTTTGTCATGATTGCTGTCTGAAGGGTGCAGATAAATTTTTGCTAATGTGGCAGTTGTCATGTTGGGGATGTTACGTTGGAAGAGAACCCCCAATTTATTATGTATTCCCGAGGCTTTGCAATCATTAATTTTCCAGAGAAAGGGAGAAGAGAGCTGAACCCAAATTATTTTTTCCTTTCTTCCCTTTTTTTGTGTTCAACTAGAGGTGGTTGTAAGAGTACATAAAGTAACTTCGCTTGTTCTCAGAGTAGGAAATGCCAATTTTTCAAATTAATAGCTAATATTAAAATCTTGACTATTTCTAGAGTCCTATTATCTCTGCTTGGAAAGCATACAGATTATTTTGAATGTAGCAGAAACAGTTGTCAGCAGCTAGAAACTATTGGTAAAAGCTTTTTGAAGCATAGAGTATAGGTGCTGTTGGACATGCTTGTATTTGCAGTAACTGCGATGTATTGCCATGTAGACAGCCTCCGTGATGACTTGTCACAGAAATTTGGGTTTTGTATCTGGCTGAGGGCCAGCATGTAAATCCACTTCAGACTGATGGCAAATTAATGATAATTTGAAAATTGTAATTGGTCATTCAAGCCTTTTATAAAGCATTCTTTGGAATAAAGAAATCACTGGGGGGCTGTGTGTGTAAAGTAATGAGGTTTCTTGCCAGCATGCCCTCAAGGGCACTTTGTGTAATGTGTGAATATAGTTATTTGGGACTTCCTTAAAATAAACAAAGAGCTAAGTTGCTGGAAGATGGCTTCTACTGATTGGAATAATAATAATAGCAATAATAATAATAATCATAAAAAAAGGAAACCATGTTATTTTCCTGGTATATTTACAATTCTTTGTGCAATTTTTGTTCCAGGTTTCATAAGATATTTGAATTTGTCCCTGGAACTAATAGTTTATATTCTTTACCCCCAAAACTGAATATTAAATGTATCACAAGAATCATTGTTCTGTAATTGTTTGTTGGAACTTCCATTGCAACCGCAGTGCTGCTTGACTTAAGTACAGAAGGAGATAACTGCATGAAGGAGAGAGCCTGTTACCAATTAACAAAACTTGGGTGCTCACATTGTGTTTGTGTATTGGTTCTCCTATTTGCATAATGTAAAATATAGTGGGTTTTTTAAATAAAAAAACCAAGCATGGTATCTGTAATGTAGAAAAAACAGGTAATTTTTGTGTTGGTTTTACCAGAAGCATATCTTTTTATAATCAGAATAATTATTCTTCAATGCATAAATTTCAACTGTGTCATTGTGTTGATATTTCTGTTTGCAATATGTGGCAGGACCTGTTTTTTGTGTTTCACTGATGTTATTTAAAATTCATATAACACTTGCAGGGTTGTGTGTTTTTTTTTTTTTTTTTTTAATTAAGACAGAAGTTTTTAATATGGTTTGTTGTGTTCAGTGATAAGTGAATTAGACATTTTGTACCATTCCTCTGGTTGGTATCTTTGAGAGCTTACAACATTACATTGCTGCCTTGATTTTACAAGCAAAATATTTACTTGTCCTAAGTCAGTACAGGTGATATTTAAAGGCTTTCTTTAGCATCTGTTACTGCATAGTCTCATTCTTGTTTGGTTGATGCATCAAATGCTTTGCCTGGAAGTCAAGGTAAAGCTGTGCTGCAGTTTAATTACATATTATCTGTTTCTGGATTGCACTGATAAGTCTTTAACTACGTATAGAGTGCTTCAAGCTAGTGTTTAATAAAATACGGTTACACTGAAAACACTTCATTTGCTAACTGTCAAGGCTAGATGGGTCAGTAATCAAAGCTTTATTTCTGCTCCCTATATGTTGCAGTTCTTCTACAACTGGCAAGTGATGCTTTACCAAATGATATGGCCTTATCTCTTGCCTATCTACTTGCACTGCCGCAGGTATGTTGATAGTGATTTTGTTTGTATGCTTTTGCCAGGAAAGACTATTCATAGCATTTCAATATTCCATAAGAAAATGTAATTTCCTTAGGGTTTTAAAATTTAAGTCTTTGAATTCCTTTTAAATACACATTTTTATAGATTGTGCTTGTGTATTTAAAGGGGACTGTGAACAAATGCCATTAGACTGACTTATGACCATAGCACTGGTGAAAAGACACATTTTCTTACTTAAAATAGTAGTTGAGCCACTTGACAGACAGTTCTAATGTAGCTTAGAAATATGGGTAATAACATAGTGGTATAGAAGCAGCAAAACTGCAGTTGGAAAATCATTTTGGTTAGGTGTTTGTGCAAGGGGGAAAAACATAATGTAGAATTACCTTTGTGTGTGTAGGTTACTGACCGACTTCTGTGCCAGAAAAACATAGTCAGAGCTATTTCTAAATCACAGCAAGTAGCTTTCTAAAAAGTTTGTGCACTTAATGTTGTATGCTTGCTAATTCTTTCATCTAAATTAATGCTTTCTTTCTCCTAGGTGGTAGATGCCAACAAATGCTTTGAAAAGCAATTACATTCTGCGTTATCTCTCCAGCTGGCAAGTTATTACTATAGCCTGCAGATCTATGCTCGTTTGGCGCCATGTTTCAAGGACAAATGCCACCCTCTCTACAGGGTTAGTACTCTTTCTTTTTAAAACCATATTCATTAATGTTCAGCATTAAAGCTATTCTAAAAAGGCAGTACGTGAGTTAAGACTGTTAAGGAGCTGATCTGACTTACACTGTGAGCAGCCTGTTAAGTTACACATAATTATTCTTCTACAGTGCTGTAAACAGACAAGTACTTCACAATTTATGGAAGAGTTTTTGAAGCACAGTATCAAGTGTCATTTGTAGGTAATAGCATTGTCAGTCTTCAAAGTAGCTTGTAACAGTAATGAGCATAGTCTGTGCTGTCATCTTGCGATACTGATAGAATGTAGTACTTCCTCAGAAGAATGAAGTGTCCATTTCAACAGGAACGGTGCCATTCCATAGCCTTCCATGAGTTGCATTGTTTTGTATTTCAGTTTACATATGGTGTTTTGAAATCTCATCCTCATTCGTTGATGAATTTGTTGATTTCCTTTGACAAGTGTCTCTCTTTGAAATGGCACAGCTTTGCTTCTTATTCATTGCCTGTGATTAAAGCAGCTACATGGTAAATTCCAAATGAAATCAAAGAGGTGACATGCAGAAGTTTAGTAAGGCACCAGTTATCATTTCTGCTAAGACACCTGAGTAAAAACTCTTCTTTGCCACTCCACGAGAGCCTTTCCAGGCTTACATAAGTTCTTTCCTCCTGTACAGAAGCTCTCTGGACTGTTTGGTTTTCAGCCTAGCTTTGCATTACAGCTAAAAGAACACTTCTGGTCACAAGTTTTCTGGAAAGAGAGATCACTAAATCACCACTGTGGCATGAGAGGAGGTTTTTTTCCATGTTCAGAATGACTCCTAATTTACAGAGGAAAGCCTGTTTTGATACTAGCCCAGTTTTGCAATTAGGCAGCCTTTCATGTTTCTGCTGAGATTTGCATTCTGCTATCTTCTGTTTAGAAGCTAAAGGAAAACTTGTGGGCCTTGCAAAATATGTTGGTTGTGAAGAATTCATTCATGTTTGTTAAATAGTTTTCTTTGAACGTAGGTCCACCTGATGCAAGACACCTTTGATGGAAAAAAAGATATCTTTTTAATTTAGCTTTTTTAAACAGTCTTATTTTATAGAAAGAGCTGTGAAGCCTTTTGAAAGAGTAAGTCATAAGGATGAGGACAGAGATGTTAAACATTGAACTATTTCTACTCCAGTTGCCATTTAATAAGCAAAGTCTTATCAATGGCACCATGTAGTTTATCTCTTAATGATATGATCTTTGGCTAAATCTTTTGTTCCATCTTGGTAAAATACTGTATGTGACTGTGATAAGCAGTGGATTCTAAGTTGTTTGCTAAAAAGAGTATGTGCTTTGTGTGCTACGTTTAAGTACCACTCTTAAACAGTAGCTTTTTAAACCAACTGTATGAGAAGATCCTGAGTGAATAGCAAACCAAGAAAAAGAAAAAAAAAAAAAAAAGAAGCCTGAATGACCAGTAAGAAAACAGCACAGGAGAATACATTAGTTGTTACTAATTCCAAGGGCATGTTACTGAAATAGAAAAGGAGAAATAGAAACAGATGCTTTTGAGCAAAATAAGTACTCTTCCCCCTCCAAACCAACCAAACAAAAAAAACCCCAAACCAAACCCCGGACTTAAATGCCCAGTTCCCACTGCAAAGCAGCCATTTGTTTAAATGTACATCTTAGATGCTGGTGGTAAAGAATGGCTCCGCTTGCAAGTTGCTTTCCTCAGTGCCATAGCAGCTGCTATCCATTGGAATAGATCTAGCCATGGTTTTTATTTTTTTGTTTCCTAAGAGCTCTGTGAGGGGAAAAAAATTGATCTTAAACTTTTATGGTACAAACTTTTATGAAGATGATAAATTCAGTTGTAGATGTCATTCCATAGTAGATTTTCTTCCAGCTCATGCTACTGGTGTCTTGCATCATCTTTATCTTCTGACTGTTTCTCAAAACAGAAATACGTCCCTAGATCCTTTAACTGTATAGTTCAAAGCTATGCATTATTCTTAGAAGATAACAATGTATTTTTGTGGGTGAAGGTGCATAACCAATCCTTTTTTTTCCCCCTTGTTCTAAACCTTTACATATTCAATAAAGATCTAAATCTGGCACTTCAGCCACATGCTCAGAAGGTGGATCCTCAAGCTCATAGAGCATATATTTCTGTTCAACAGCATCTGAGTCACAGTAGGTGTGATTTCTGTAGTCCGATAAATGAAGTAGCCTGTCTGAAAACTCTAGCTGAAGTGATAAGAAGCTCTATAGAAGCATGGAGAAGTCTACACTTCCTTTGTTTACTTTAAAATAACATTGTATAAATCTTTCAAAACAGTACCTGAGTACCTCTGGCATAATGGGAGAAATGTTGTCAGAATTAAAATGACAGGTGTATTAAAAAGGTAGTTGGGAGTAGTGGGGGAGAGTTCCTCTTCCACTAGTTAAGACAGACTTTTAAGACTTGCTAGCTGCTTAACCTCCTTCCTTTTTCTGTGGCTTGCTGCCTGGGGAAGCCTCTGTCCAGCCTCTCTGTAAGAGGCAGAATTAGGTCTGCTTTCACCTCACATAAATTCACTGTCTACAAAGTAGTTTGTTGGGAAACAGTAGTGCTGTTTCTCTTTATTCCTGTCATTGTTCCACCACTGTTTCTGTCTGGTCACATCTTCCTTTGCAGGACTGTATTTAGGCTCTCTCTACTGCCCTCACTGCAATGGCCTCTGGATGCTTTAAGTGCATTAAGCAGCTGTGACAAATATGTCATGTGTGTCTTACTTTCTCTCCTCTCCTTTCCCTGAGGGGGAAACCAGCATGTGGAATAGTTTTTAAATGGTTACATGTGGGTATGTGTTTATCTTTTTTTGCATTCATGAAAGCAAGGTCAAAAGAAGAGTGCTTTGAACTTGGGACTGAATATTTAGAAGTTTGTGTTGATCTTACGGGAGCTCATTCTGCAGACTTGATGTGGCTCCCAAGGCAATTCTGTTGCTTATTTGTATAAGGTTGACCTTAATTATAAATACAACTGTATTAAGGCAGAGAAGCAGAACTCCCAGACATGGTCCTTATGCTACAGCTTTAGGTAATATCCTGAATGTACGATGTTGGATATAAAGACTTAATTTGAACTGGAAGTAAATACAGTATAAGAAGGCTGTATACAAGAAGAAGGAGAGAGGTAGATCTTATGGGCTACCCAGATGCATTACCCATGCTGTATGAGGTCTAATGGTTTTAACCTTATTTCATGGCACTGTAGTGCAGCTAGAAGTTAAATCTATGCACATGAGGTAATCTCTCATTCGAAATCAAATGCTCATTAAATTGTTGCATGTTGGTTTGTGTTCAGTAATAATATCCTGTCACATTCCTAAATTATGAACCTAACTCACTAGAAATAATGTATATATTTTTAATCTCCAGTTGGATTTGTGTACATGACGTTTTACTGGAATCTATTAACACTGCTGCAGTACTGACAAACTGTATCAGAGTCTTTTTTCATTCTGTCTCAACATTCAACTTTTTATCCATAAACTCAATGACTAGCACTGTCTGTTGTAGATGGTAACATGGTAGTGCTCTTCATTGTTGGCTTATGATGGACTTAAAACATGTCCTTTACTTTTATTACTATTTTGAGTCCCGGCTCCTCTTTAGCCCTTCTTTCTGCTTGGCTAATGATGCTGAAAACTAGCAATTTTCTTTGGCAGTGTAATTTCTTCCCTTTGCTTCACAGTTTGAATTTTCTGTCATATGTTCTGCATCAAGTTCAAGTGTCTTTGCTGGTCTTTAGGTTGCTCCACTTCCTTCCGTGCTGCTGTTTATGCCTAGCATTTACCTTTTTATGTACCAGACTGTTTGCTTGTACATGTTCAGATACTCCTTAATACTTGGTGTGGAGGAGGAGAATTCTATCTGTTTTGGTATATGCTTTGGTTTCTAAGTCCAGTGCATATCTGTGGTTCCAAAAGGAAAATCGGTAGAGATGAGAGTGTAACTTCTCGAATCTGTGCTGCACTATTCTCCCTCCTGTTGACCTTCCTCCTTCCTGCATGTGTGTGGAGTCTGTGACAGAGGAAAACCAGGGAGTGGGAGGGCAGTGGGGGAAGGCATTGTGAATGTGACATTAACTGGCAGACTAAGAACTTCTTGGGAGTTTTCTTCTTTTTTTTTCTTTTCTTTTTTCAAAAATATTCAATTAGGCCAAACACTGTAGTCTTGATATGTAGCATAACATTTGAATAATTCAGAGAGCTTAGTATCATCAGAAAACTTAAATATTTATTGTTTATCCCTTCTTCAGGACATTGATGAGAGATTCTGAATAAAAGTGATCTCAGAACCTGCCCCTAGAGGACTTGCTGCTGGCTCTCCCCTATCTGAAAAGTGATCATTAAGCTTTCGGCTCTCCTTCACCAGGTTTTGGTTCATAAAAGGACCTTTCTTCCAACCCCTTGGCAGCTTAAGTTTCTTGACTGGACTTCCGTGGGGAAACTTGTCAAAGAATTTTGGAAGATCTGTATATATTTTGCCACAGGATTCCCTTTGTCCATGTGCTCATTGACACCCTCATAGCCCTCCAGCAAGCTGACAAAGTGGATTTCCCTTTACAGAGGCCATGCTTTTTCTTTCCCACCAACCTCTGTTAATGAATGCATGTGCTCAGTGGTTTTATTCTTTGTTACAGAGTTTGCCATATTACTAGGGGTGGAAATCAGACTCGTTGATCTGTGATCCCTACGAAGATCCCCTTGAGATAGATTTTTTTTTTTTTTTTTTTTTTTTTTAGATGGGACTTGTACCCTGGCACAGTGTTTTTTTATAATGTACATTGATGCACCTTAGCCTGTCATTTAACATAATTTCACATTAGTGTTTGTTGCGAACTGAGGGATGAACACCATCTGGTCATGGTGGTGTGCAAGCACATAACTTACCTAATTGTCCTGACACTTCCCAGATGTTTTCTTCTAACTCATCTAGCTCTTCTGAGCTCTCTCCCCCAGATCTTCAGTAGT